GTTCCCAAATCCTCCTTCCTTGTCCATAGCGCCAGAAAATAATATCCCTAGATCTCACCCAGAAAGACAGGCAGGGTGCCTGCTCTGATGCCAATTGCAATTCTGGCAACAGATACTTAATGTCACGGTGAATGTTATGACACCGTATCTGACAAATTGTACACAAACCAAACAGTAATTTAAAAGACAGTAAAGAACACAATCAATTGTTAACCCAGTTCAGTGTATAACAACACCTACATCTGGGGGCTACCAAGCCAGGGAGGAAATTCACTATAAGAGGTATTAATTTAGGAATAAACCAACCAGTTTATCTCCTTCACTTAAGACCTACCCAATGCAACTTCAATCTAAGTCCTACTTAAACCTGAGTTCCTACTCACTCCCCCTCAATCACAGCAGTGATACTAATCTACTGATTAATAAGATTATGAAGACATTCTTCAATACACACGCTTGATTTTGCTTCAAAGCTTTAATCAAGAGGCACAACACTCGTGCTTCAAAGCTTTGAGTGATAAACAACCCTTACAACCAAATCCTACTCCAAGTCACTTATTAAGTGATAATTTCTTGGCTCACAGTAATTACTAAAACTATCACAACTACAAAATGCCTTATTGATCTTCTCTAAAAAGCGCTGCACACCATTAGGATTCGTGAGAAATATATATGTAGTATATTCTTCATTTTGGGCTTCCATAAAAAAGCTAGGGTTAACCAAAGTTAACCTAAAGACTTGGTCTTGGGCTTTCATCATAACAGATTAGGGTTAAGCAAGGTTAACCTAATATCCACGTGAGCATCTGATCTAGTCAATATACTTTAACTCAGAATAGCACACCAGATTCCTGAAAATTCTCAGGAACAATAAATCTGCACAACAACTTGATCAGTACAGGATGTCTTAACATTGGTTATGACATCATGTATCCTGCTCACTGATTTTGGTAGAATTCAGTACATATAATCATAGCTTAATCATCATGATATTCACTCATATTGAGTTGTTCCTGTAGAACATTCCTTCTGCAGAATTTGTCTTTATCCCAGAATGTTATGACATCAGTCATGACATTCGCAAATCTGGTTTTACCAAAAATTAATGCCAACAAGCAAACACTTACAACATGTGTTTCTGACTTTTCTTTAGGAGTTCTCTCATCATAGTAAGGATGAGACATTTCCCAATTCCAGACTTTTGATTCTTTTACAATGACGTCTCTGCTGAACTCAACTTTGTTAGTTTCTGGATAATAAAGTTTGTACGAACCTGTACTGTGGTACCCCACTAGTAACATTACTTTACTTCTATCATCCAGCTTCTGTCTTCTGGCTTCTAGGATATGTTTATAACATAAAGAACCAAACACCTTCAGATGACTAACACTTTGCTTATCTACAGTCCACTTCTGAATAGGAACTATTTCCTTCAGCTTCTTCGTTGAACATATGTTGAGCATATAACACGCAGTGGCAACAACTTCTCCCTACAAAGTATGAGGAAGCTTCTTCTCTTTCAGCATGCTTCTCATCATATCAAGCAAAGTATGATTTCTTCTTTCAGCAAGACCATTGTGTTGAGGAATATAGGGAGCAGTAACCTCATGCTCAATTCCATTCTCCTCACAGAACCTTCTGAATTCTGTGGAGTTATACTCACCACCACCATCAATTATAAGAATATTCAGAGTCTGGCCAGTCTGATTCTCAACCTTCAGTCTGAACTTCTTGAATTCAGCAAACACCTCGTGTTTGAAATCTATGAGAGATACCCATGTCATTCTGGTGAACTCATCAACAAATGACACAAAGTATTTATTCTCTCCAATTGATGCTACTGGAAATGGACCGCACACATCAGAATGCACTACTCCCAAGGCATGCTTTGCTCTTGAAGCTACTTCTGATGAAAATGGTAATCTTGGTTGCTTCTCTTCCATACAAACCTTGCATGACTTCTCAAGTTTCTTGATTGTAGGAATTCCATGTACCAGTTTCTTTGATTTCATATGCCCTAAGCTTCTGAAATTCAGATGACCAAATCTTCTGTGCCATAACTCACTCTCCTTGACAACACTTGTTGCACTAAGATATTCAGAGTCTGCAGTTCTAACATTTACCTTGAATGTTTTGTTCCTTCCCTGTTCTGACTCCATAATCAGCTTCTGATTACAGTCATACAACTTCAGAAGATTGTCCTTCATGGTAACCAAAAAACCTTTCTCAATCAGTTTCCCCACACTCATCAGATTGCTTTTCATGCCAGGTACATACCATACATTCTAGACCACTACTGCTTTCCCATTGTTTAGAATGATTCTGACATTTTTCATTCCTTCTGCATTGAGGTATTTATCATCAGTACATATGATCTTTATACTCTTCTCATAGTCAAAATCAACCAACCATTTCTTATTTCCAGTAAGATGGTTTGAATACCCCGTGTCCATATACTACCATTCTAATGAGTTCGTATTATCAGGTTCAGAAGCCAACAATAGCACAGGTTCATCATCAGACTCTCCTCTGACTATATTTGCTTCTTCTGACTCCTTTGTTTGTTCGACCAATAATCTTTGGCATAGTGACCAGAGTTCTTGTAACAGTAACACTGAACATTCTTCTTGTCATACTTCTCCTTTCCCTTCTGGACATTCTTCTGCCTATCAGAGTTTGAAGCTTCTGACCTTTGACCACCATTAGTTTTCTTCCTGGCTTCTGACCAAGTCTACTTTTGATACTTCTTACCAGAAGTTACTTTCAGAGCATGTTGCTCTACTTCCCTCTCAGAAGTTCTCTTAGTCATACGCAACTCATGCGCCTCTAGACTACTTTGTAGCTCTTGAACTCTCATGGTGCTCAGATCTTTGAAATGTTCAACTGCAACCACAATGTAATCAAACTGAGAAGTTAAAGATCTCTCTTCTCAATGATTACTTGTTCAGGAAGAGTTTCTCCACAAGCTTTCATCTCATTAGTGATCAGAATTAATCTAGAGATGTACTCAGAAACCTTCTCGTTGTCCTTCATGTTGAGATTATCATATTGTTTTCTGAGAGACTGAAGCTTCACCTTCTTCACTGATGCGTCACCACCGTAACATCTGACCAGTGTGTCTCCGCAGCCTTTGTTGTTTCAGAGTCAGGAATCTTCTCAAACACGTTCTTATTCACACATTGATAGATGTAGAACAATTGCTTCTGATCTTTCTTCCTTATCACCTTCTGCGTCATCTTCTGTGCCTCCGTCGCATCTGTTGCTATCAAATCATAGACATCGGTGACGAGATCTAACACATCTTGAGAACCAAACAGCACACGCATTTGGATCTTTCAACGATTCTAGTTTTTGCCATCAAATATTGGAAGTTTGGAATTGATATCACTGTTTCCGTTCATCTTCAACCATGTGCAATTCACTCAAAAAACTCACTAAAACAGTGCTTCCCAAATCTCACAGAATTAGAAGAAACGATTCTCAATGACACAATACCTCATTGTTCACTCGTGTTTCCCGTGTTTTCCAGTAGATTTCGAACCAGGAGCTCTGATACCAATTGTTGGTGCACAAAGGAGAGATGGAAGCTTAAAGAAATATATTGAATGACAACTACAAAATAAAGAATAATGAATTACATTGACTTACCTACTACTAAGCTATTTATACACAAAATTAGGGTATAATAAAATACTAAAATACCCTCTAACAAAGATATAAAAAGATATTTCTAAAATATAAAATTATTTCCAACGACAAGGACTCACCTCTCACACTCTAGAAAGACTAGCTACCAAAAGGAGGATGAACCCTTATCACTACTTTGTTTCGCGGTTTGTTGTCTTTATCCATGTGACTTTTGCTGTAGAGTTTTGATTGCTTTAGTCATACACTTATTATATTTATTATTATGTTTATGACAACACCTCTTAGTTACACATGAAGAAAGTTTAGTAAAAAAGTTATTTATTTTCACGTAAGAGATACTTCATAGTGATGTAGAACAAAATTTTACACATATGAAATAAAAATACTCAGCCAAGTAATTATGTCGCTATTTATTAATCTTTGGGCATCTTGGTGTGGTGTATCATGGTCGACTTCAGCGTTCCTTCATAGTTGTATCCTACAATGATCAATGAAGAACAATTGTATGTCATATCTGGTGGGAACACATTTCCCTTCCTTTGGTGGTTGATCACCATCTCCTCAAATTTTCTGTTGAGGGAGGATGTGTTCGAGGAGGATGTGTTGACCTCCATTGCATTCTCTTCACTTGTATCGTCTTTGTCACGATGCAAGCCTTTGTCTATCCCTTAGGCTTCAAACAGATCAACGTATATTGTCACTAGTTTATCATAGACATTATGATATTTTATCTTTAAGGGGACTGAAAACGTCCAGTGCCGCCCTTTACGGTTCTAGTATCTCTTCCTTTTTTAAGGGTGACCATTAGTTCAATGTATCCTCAGGGCGATTCAAAGTGCCGTTAAAGGCTTGCAATCAGATCCCTTGTACGGTGAAAACTTTTCCCTTTTCAGCTCGAGCTTCTCAAAAAATTATGCATACATGATTTCATTTAAAGTGGTGAGTTTGTTCATCCCAACTAACACAAACACTAAAAAGGTGGGAAAATATTTGATCTCATTAAGTTATTAAATTTTTTTCCTCCAAAACTTCTGAAGGATTTAGACCAGATATGAATTGGTACTTATTGCAAACACATTTGTCAAGGTTTGGTAAGGACAGTCCTCACAAACTATTGATGGGGTTAGCTTTGCATATGTGATTAAAGGGAATGTGAAATTAATTTGGAGGCCAAGGGGAAGACGAATATAGTGGTAGATGGCTAGGGGCCATTTAGCATACCTGCAATGATTTTAAAATGTATTTTTAGTGGAAACAATTTTCTCAAATGAAACATGTCGACTCTAATTTGTGGAAACATTTCTCTTTAACTGGAAGTTATGTTCAAACCAACAGTCAATTTGGAAATGATTTTAAGCGACAGAGCCAAAATTCTGTTGCAAGAATTGATAAAGCTCTTCCGCGACTACCGCAGGATACTCCTCTTGTGGAAGAAGAGCACCAGGCACTTCCACAAACTTGGTGACACCTTTAGCTCCCTTAAGAACTTCCATTTCAGCTTTAGACCTTTTAGGAGACCCTTTTGTTGATACAACAAATACTGGTATCTTTCCTTCCAAATCTGCAAAGAGTTGAAGGAACTCCTCACGAGATGTTACAGGATCAAGTAGCCCAGTCAAGAAAGCTGCGGGCAAGTAACGTGCTCCTTTTCGTTTTGTCAATGAATATCTTCTTTCAATAATTGCTGGTGTCACGTTATCAGGGTTGGCATATACGTGTGATTTGTACTTTGTTTGGATTATATTCGCATTGCTCACAAACATGTTATAAATCATCCATCCAACTGCAGGGGCCTTTAAGGCGCCTCTTAGAAGACCATATCTGTTGAGTTTAAAGCGAAGGGAGAACAAATAGAAACAAGTTAACGACGCCGTGCATTTTATCTCAACAAGAATAAGCAGTTATATACACAATCATAGTACCTTGTTTCCATGCTGGAATTTCGACCAAATATGATAGGAAGGGGACCAGACCAAGTCGGTGCAATAACAGCTATAGCTTTGGGCTTCACAAGACCCTTTTTTGCAGCACGGAGTACTATTGAAGCAGCGTGCCCTCCTCCAAAAATCACCAAATCATTGTCTAGTTTAACCAACAACATTAGTCTCAAACACTAGTCAATCCAAAGTCACAACTCGTGATATATTCGATTAAACATGGATAAAAACAACATAAATTTCCCCAACAGTTCACAACAGAAATTAATTCTATGTATACGGTCTTATAAAACCACGAATAGTAACCGCAAATTTCAACCAAACTATGGTGATTTAAAATGATGTTCCGACATGTAAATATATAATTCAGCACGAGAAACTATTGCAAAATATAGCATCTTCCACTACTACAATAACAGTACCTGATTGTTTTACAGGACCATCTGGTGAATTAATGAAATCAACCAGAAAATCTTCCAAAACATCAGCATCGTAATCAATCTTTGGACAATCAGAATAACCTAGACCAGGCCAATCGACAATAGTTGCGCGACAATTGACACGGTCATTCCGTTGAGCGATATCTTCGGCAACTAATCTCCATTCCTCAACAGTGCTAACATCAGAAATGTTTGGCAATATCAAGATATTCAGGGAAAGCTCCTGACTCTCCTTCACATGTTCCTCATAATAAATATTTACTAAATTGTCCTTGAATTTCCACTGCCAGTTGCTAGTCTGATAGAATATAAAACATGCAAGATTCAACAAATTTTGACACAAACCTCAGAAATTTGCATCCAGCTATGAATTATGAATCATAAAATAAAAAACATTTGCAATTAAAAATAAGTAAAATTGCAATAATTTTGACACAGTTTAACTCTAACCTTCAACGGGGAAGACTTTTTGCTGGCAGAGACTTTGGAATAATCTAGGGTTGCTGAAGCCTGGATCTTTGGAGATTTGATAAGAAATACAGTGTTAGAAAGAAAGGGTTTGCGAGTTTTGGCATAAAGGTTGGAGCTTGAAGGTGAAGGAGTGATAAATGTAGCAGAGAGTGCCATTAGAGGATTTAGAGGCTGAAGAATGAAAAATTGAACAGTAATACAACAAGGTTTAAGATCAGTGAGAAATCGATACAGCACAAAATACTTAAAGTCAACTCGATAAGATTTTGTGCAATATCCTTTGTGGGACCACCAGCCCAACGAGGAACATGTGAAAAATAGAAGGCTTTGATGAATGCAAAGAGTCTGAATACATTTATGTAAAAATGAGTTAAATAATAAATTTTAATGTAAAAATCAGATTTAATTTCAAAAGTTATAAATTATAACTTCAAATAGAATTAATTGTGGAGTCAGAATCAATTCTATTTTAAGAGAAATAAATATTTCAAAATCATTTCAGAATCAATTATACACTTTAAAATTGATTCTATCTTCTCCAGAAATGGAATCACACATACACTACATATGCAAATTTTTCTTGCATGAGGATCAGAACAACAATAATCCTTTTGATCATTCCCATAATCAAGGAAAAACAAATGACAAAATGAAAAGACAACTTACTATGTTCTATTTGTGAACGAAGAACAAATGAAGTAAAAGCAAAGACTTTCAAGAAAGAATAATAAATAAAAAAATCATACAAATTTCTAAAGGAAGACAAATCTGATGTGATGGATATTGGAACTCTATTACTAACATAAACAATACAAAAAACTATTTCAGTCCAAAATTCGCTAGAATAAGTCGTCTCTACAATGTAATTGTGTTTTCTTTCGACAACTCCATTATGTTGAAGAGTAACAATATAATATGTATGATGATTAGTACCGTCACTTAAAAACAACATTATGGTGAGTCTTAATAATAACATGGAACATATGATGAATGTTAAAAAATTTAAAACAGTTTCTCATAAGGTAAATCCAATGATAAAGAGTATAGTCATAAAATAACCATAATATCTAGATCCAACTTTGGTAAAGAATTGGTGATAGACCCCGTGTTAGAATTAAATCAATAACAATCTATCAAACATACATGTTCAATAAAGTATCACATATAATTTATTGCAGAAACTAGATAGTCATATAGGCATGTATAAAATTAAAGAATCTACAAATTGATTTTAGAAGTATCTGGATCCATTGAGAAAAGTCTCTTTGGTCGTAATCATGAAACACAAAGATTAAGAGAGGACAATGAACACCTGATGACTTATGTGGTTCTTCCTCAGTTGGTACTCCTAATTCCATGAGAGGAAAATAGATAATATGTTATTGTACTATATATTAGGGATCATAACCTATATATAAGATGATGCCTCTAATAAAAGTGAATTTGCATTTTCTTATCATTCATTTCCTCCTTTACCTAGTGCTCCTTTTGGGACCTAATGCTCCTTTTGGAGCTGTCAAAAACCTATACCTTCATATGTATGATTTTTTCTTATTAATTTGGTGCCACTTTCGAAGATACTAAATCCCAACAAATCGTAGTCAGGCCATACGACCTCTCAAAATTTCCTCTCCATTTAGGGATTGATCTATATTCAAGTAGGGAATTTCCTGAGCTTAAATATAAATTATTTTTCCTTGAAGCTATTATTACTCAACCCTTATGTTTTGGGTCGGCCATATCTGTTGTAAATTGTGATTATATTTCAAAAGTTTAAATAATTTTGATAAATATGGGAAAATATTTTGTAATATTAATTATTATTATTATTATTATTAACAATTATTATTATTCATTATATTTATAATTTGTAACTGTTTGACTTGACTTGCTCAAATCCTTGACTCTCTCTCTCTCTCTCTCTCTCTCTCTCTCTCTCTCTCTCTCTCTCTCATATATAACAACTTCTCTACTTTTATAAGACGAGAATATACAGAAAAATCTCTTTTGTCTTCAATTCCTTATTCATTTAAGTTGTTCCTGGTTACATCTTTCTGTTATCTTAAAGATGATTTCTTGTGATGTCTCATGGTCTTATTGAGAATCTGGGAAGAACTTGTTGAATCCTGGAGAATTTGCGTTTATGAGGCAGATAAATCTTTAAGGACAATGTACTTACACGCCTTCGATTTATGTAATGGTTTATTGTTTTGCAGGTTCAATAATTCTTATAATGAGAGGGGTGATTGAATTATATTGGTGGTCAAATTTCTACAACAATCTTAAAGATTTCTCTTTTATCTCTTAAACTTTATATTTGACCAACAACGTCAATGAAAATTGTTGATAGTGCTTCCAATAATATATATATATATATATATATATATATATATATATATATATATATATATATATATATATATATATATATATTGTATCTGAAGAGTCATTCAAGCACCTGCAAAATAAATATTTAAATAATATATTTATATTTGTATTATTGATAGTGACATCGGTTAATAATCTAAGGAGACTTGTATAGTTTGATATGAGAATTTAGAGTTATTTTAAGATTATTAAAATATTTAAATTATGGTAACACTTTGGGGTGTTACATTATACTCAGTGAGATTTTTGACTTACTATGTTGTATTAAAATGATACAATGATGTTATATGAATTTAAATTGTATGAAATCTATATATGAAAATATTTATCTTTACTTAAGATGATGGTGTTGTCATTTGAAAGTCATTCAAATAGACATGTATAATAAATTCATAAGAGAATTTATTTATATCTCCATTGAGATGATATTCTTGTTAGAATTGATGTCGCTTAAATATCTAAGCAGACATGTGTTAATTAATTGCGAATACCAAGTTTATTATTATATACTTGAGTAAATATATGAGATTGATTGACTTAGAGACGTCTTACTCAATGTCTATTTATGGGAGAAAATATGTATCTTCCTAATTTGTGTATAAAGTAGCTATTGAATAAAGAGGTAATATCCTCTTTTTATGTGATATCGGATCAAAGTGATCTTAGTTGATCCTCTGACAAAATGCCTAGGAAGAAAGTGATTTGTGAACACGTCGAGGGAAATTGGACTTAATCCAATTGAAACTAACAAATGATGGGAACCCAACCTTTTTGATTTGGGATCCCATGAAAAAGATTCATATGGGTAAGAACAAGTCACTTGTTAGTTCTACTAGCATCAAAAGTTATTTGATTAATTTTTATTTGCGTATTTTTCTTATGGTGTAATTGAGAAAGTGTTAGACACTACATTATTGAGAGGATAAGCTTATGTAGCTTTTAATGGATTTTATATCCTTTATTGGTGGTGTATGATTTGCAGCATACACTTGATGGAATCACCTATATGAGTGTCGATTGGGGCTGCTTGTATGAGATCTTGAAGAAATCTTTAGAGCACTCATGAAATAACCAGACACGCACACGCTAAGTGATCTTGGTTTATATAGCTTGCTA